CCTGACTGGTTAAGGATTAAGAACCGACTTTTATTAGTCTGATAAAAAAACTGTGACACAGACATCAGAAATGTTAACTAATTTAACATTAACCCTTTAAGTCCTGAATTATATTATCGTTACTTCTTATTCCAGCTACTCAAAAACTGTTAAAATATGGTTTTCTTATATCTTCTACAATTTTCTTCAAATAGCTAAATATGATGTCTCTGAGTGCTGGCACAATTTTTCCCATCTCAGAGGACTTCAAAGAAGCAGTCAGTAAATACTTATAAATTCCAAGCATATTGGTTAACGGCAGAATTTTATTTAACACAAGTGCTACTACAAAGTTCCATCAGGCCATAAAAGGTTAAACAACGTTCAATCGTTTCCCTAGACCCACACAAACTTTCCTTCAACATCAATTATACAGAAAATCGATCACAACTTTCGAGGTTCACCCGCGACTACCAAAACTACAAATCAGCATTCCACGCAAATTCCTTCGACGCGAAAAAATTTCCTTCAAATATTTGAAACGTGAATCGAGGGCCACTTCGATCCCTAACCCCCGCCCCCCCCCAATCGTTTGCCCGCGACCTTTGCAAGTCAAAATTTAATACCTCCTCGGTGGCCTCTCTTAAGCATGGATCAAACGTTGTCCCCCTCCAGCCGACCGCGGACGTCGATAAATTTTAAATAGTCCGAATCGTTCGTCGAAGAGAACCAGAGGACCACCCTAGTCCCGTTTCCAGGGCGTTCCTTTCAGCGAATTTGCACGGTGTATTTGCGCTCGTTCGTCGGAGCTGTTTGAGTTCCGCGTTTGCACACAGATAATTATAATCGAAGCCTGGACGATCCACGGCCACGGGCGGGCTTTAATTAATCACGATGAATAACGGACGAACAGGCGAGAGCCAATGGTCCTGGTGGAGGGGAGGGAACGCGGCGTGGCGGCTAGGCAAAACTTCGTTAACTTGCAAATTTCCTCGAGACCCTTCAAGGATAACTTCCTCCCTACCGCCTCCCGCCCCCTCTTTTTCGTACTTTGATTTCCCGCGCGATTTTGCATTTTCTTTAACACCCCGCTAATGAATGCGAGCACCACAGGCTCGACCGCAAAAATTCCAGACAGCGGTATGGAAATCATGGCCGACCGCATAATTGCGTGCCGATTACGGATTAATTTACGAACGGATGAAAAGAGTATAAGAGTAAGTAATCGGACGATATGTCGAAAAATTCAGATGACAACATTTCATTGCATTTGTGTTAGTGGGTGAGTGCGTTGTTTGGATCGACAACTGGCGAATAGATCGCGAAAGAGCAAATGGTCGATGGACCGCGAATTACACTCCAGGTTGTAAGTAGTAGGATACTTATCGGATATGCAGTAAATGATACAAGTCATTAGGAAATTGTTGAATGTTTGAAGGAAATATCGTTTTGGGGATATTAAAGCTCGATTGATAATTCTTATGCTACTATGAAGTAATGAGAGTGGCCTGAAATGTGCAGGATGGTTCGTAACTGGTGGTACAATCGAAAAGAAAGTGATTCTACGCGAAGAAATAAATCGAAAATGTAGAATAGAATTGTTTCATTTGCGACTTTGGTTTCGATAAAATCGACATTGAAAATTTGCTGGATGCCCGTGCAATTGAATAGGATTTCGCTAGCACGTCTGGTCATTGAATTCTGTTTCTACTTTATACCAGAAGGAATACACGCGTTTGAAATTAATTTTTGAACTTCTGACTGTAAAAGTACTAAGTTCCAATTACCATAAAATTCACAATTTCTGAGATATTTGACTTTGTTCGTCCTATTAATTTCATTATAAAACATGTTCGAAGTATTAACCATATGCATCATAACAAAATTCACAGGATGAACAACTTACTTTTACTACGTTTGCTTAATAGTAAACTGTTTCAGAATTACATATTACTTTACATGAAAGTGTCTCGATAATACCTTTAATTCACGACTGCTACGTTTAAATTAACGATCGTGATAAAGACAACGCGGCACCATGAGTTCCCGAGATTTGTCTGTGGATCGTCTAACAAATTGAGGAAGATCTCATCCACAGAGAGTGGTAATTGTGATTAATCGGAAGAAATCCACGGGGCACACGATTTTCCTGGAAATTCATTTCGAAGCTAACGATACACCCAAGAGCTGGTGTTAACGGGCGCCGGAGAACGGAGATCCATAATTTTCCGATCGTCCACCAGGACACGCCGCGCGTCTTCTTTTCCCCTTCGGGGCAGGTAACCGACGCGTGATTGCGGAACAAACCATGGACGATCGTGATTAATCGGGATAGATGTAACCGAGACCCACGTCGGTGATTGCAACGTTAACGGGCGCGTTGAACATTCGCAATATACCGATGAATTATTCGGCTCGACGTCCTTTTTAATTACGAAAGAACGGGTCAGCGAAGCTCGTCTGTCCGCGCGTCGAAATCACCCATCCGCCCCACACTGTGCTGGAAACCCGTTTTTCCTGGCCAAACTTGAATTTTTGCAGTTTCACATTTTGAACATTTTTTGTGTACATCAATTAACAACCCCTAAAAATCCAAAATATTAGCCATTTTAAATAATTACGTGTGCAGGGAATTCACTATGAAGACAAAATTCAAAAATTCAAAGTGCAACCAATTATTCTAAGAACTTATTATGTATGTATTAATAAGGCTTATTTTCATTGTTTAATTAGTTCCTAAGCATTATTTATAAGCAATATTTGTAACAATATAAACTCTGAGGTTTTTAAAAAAAATGTTTAGAAGTGTTAAACATGGGACTTGTTCCATATGAAAGCGTAGACAATTATGAAGAGCAATACGCAAATTTCAAGTGCAACCACCTGCAACTTTTAAAGTTATGCGAATTAATAATTAATCATTTAAATGATATAGAATTGGATTTCGAAACAAAAGTGAAAAATCGTTACCTATAAAAAATGAATGAATATCTATCATATAGGACACGTCTGTGACTGAAGGCTGAAACTTTTTAAGGGATTGCAAAAAGTCAGAACAACAAGCTCACTGCTCGGATTTCATGTCGATAACATTTTTTAAAACAAATAATAAACATTCTCCCTCAACTCATAATTTACGTACCACCTCCCCGCTAGATTGTTAAATCAGCCCACAGTGCAAGGATAGGATCCTGATTTCCTATTCCCGAACAAAATCGTCCCTATCGCGATTATCTACGCGGGGAATTTACGTTCCCTTCGAGAACGTTTTCCACCGATATCGAGTGACTCGCGATCCTGAAAATAAGAAGAGAACGAGAGACACACTCTCTCTCACGGGCGATCCGGAAGAAATCGGAGAGGATTTAGCCCGATAATCGTGATTAATCGCGACAGATTCGTGAGGGCGCGCGCAAAGAATATCCCGTTCCTGGAAACGCAACCGTGCGGTGGAGTTAACGATACCCGTTGATTTTTCTTTCCACCAACTATCCAGTGAGCTTCATAATTTTATAACTATTCGCGGATAATTTTTCTCTTATCCATGTACCTATCGCGTAACCAATTACTGGGGGGGGTTGCGTTCCGTTTGATTCACGATCGTTTCATGGCAGGCGGATAATCGAGCCCCCTGGATCACGATTCATTCAATGATCGAGAAGATCGTGCGTGCACATGGGTGTATGGGGACGGAGAATCTAGCCTGGCATTTGATCCGACCCGTTCGAGCGCGCGAATTTCGAAGTTCATGAACCTGGAGACGGTCGGTGCGCCTCCATTAGCCTCGTTAAGCGTTAACGCTTCGCGGGCAAACGATATCCCGTAATGGCTAATCGGACCGAGGGGCTAATGGAACGCCCGGGTAGAAAGCGGATTTCACTGTAGCCACGATTCTGTCGCTTGCATTAATATCTATTGTGATTACTTTCGCCGGGGCCGGCCGGGGATACCCGACCGATTCGGGATTAATTATGTCCAGCGCGGAAAGAGAATGGATCGAAAGGCGACCACGTCGACCAGCGGCGGAACTGTTCTACTTTGCTCGCAGATATCTACTAGGTGTACCGATAAGTAAAGGAGATTTATGCAAATTTGTATTCTCGGTGATTGTGTTTTGACAAGTGGGATCAGGGAAGATTGATTCTTTGATGAAGAAACATTATCGTTTCGGTTGATGGAATTTAAATTTACATTTTTGTGACGTTTTATGTGGTTCTACTTTGCTCGCTGATTTCTACTAGGTGTACCGATAAGTAGAGGAGATTTATGCACATTTTTATTGACAAGTGAGATCAGGGAAGATTGATTCTTTGATGAAGAAAAATTATCGTTTCGGTTGATGGAATTTAAATTTACATTTTTGTGATGTTTTATTTGGTAGAAATATCGTGAATTGTTGGGAACATTATAAGCTTTTGTTTGCAAGCAAATATTTCTGTATCGGATAAAAACAAGGATTACAAACTCCCAACCATCTTTCATCCACCCTTCGCGATCTACTCTAAAACCAGGAAAAGTTCGTAAGTTCCAATTCGCATTACAATGCAACCTGCGACCCAGATCGACGAACTTTTGATCGATAGCGTACCCAGACCGTGAGCAGCGACAAGTTTCGAAATTCTTTATCGCTCCCCATTCCCCTCAATACGTCCTTCGTTTCGACGTTCGCGGTGACTCGATGATTCTCGACTTCGAGAAACGGGGTTCGCCGAACGAACCCCTCTAGTGGGAGCATCACAAGTAGGCAAAAATAGAGCACGGGAGTGTGCACACTCGCGTCGCGAACGTGAAGAGGCGACCAACGGGTGTCTATCCGGGACGAGAGGCCAAAGGGCGTGAAAGAGAAGTCGTATGTTGCCTATGGGAGAGGATTAGACGACACGAAAAAAAAAAAAAAATGATCGCCAAAGTGGTGATAACGAGTGTTACAACGTTGGACTAATGAAACAGGCGGGGTACCGTTCGAGCACCTCTTCGGCTCGTTTCGTCGATCGAATAGATAAAGAGCATCGTGTACCGACCTTCTTCAGGTGACCCTCCTTGGTCCCTACGAAGACAACGGTGAAGTCGCCGGTCGAAGTCGCTGCCACCGCGGTCAGGTTCGTTTCGAACGTGATGACCGGTCTACCCTCCATCGGATCCTCGCCGCCAAGAGGCGTGTTCACGTCCAGACCGCAAAAGTCCTCGCCGATTGTTTGCAGTTTCTGTAAAAAGAAATATTTGATTATTAGTTATCGTTCCATTGTTGTACATATTTACTGAAAATAATGCGAGTATCGTTTATTCGTATATTTTACAATTAGAGGAAAACTAGTGTTATGCGAAAAATGACCATGATGTTTTAGCACTATCTTAATTCAAGAGCAATATGATATTATTATACAGGGTGAGACATTTAACGTGGCAATCTCACATTAGATACTCGCTACGGGATAAAATGTTTCAAAAGAAATTCATTTCTGTATTTAATTCAACTTCGCCCCCATCTAACAGAAAATTTCCCCATTAAACGACTCAACTCGACCAACCACAAATAATTACACCTCCGCAAAAACAGTGAAAAATTACAAAAATTCCGTGATCATAACCAAGCCTGTCGATCATTCCATTATTTTCCTCAGCACCATGGTACGGCAAGCTACACAGAATCACAAACGCAACGAATATAAATGATGATTGCTTATCCGAAAAATCCGGCCGATCTCCGTCACGTAGTAGATCCGACGTACAAAGAAGAACGTCACGGAGGTGGAAAAAGGAGGGTGTCGGTGGATTTCTCGCGTCGAGCATCTAAACACGATTGCAGGAGGGGGAGGGGGACGTTCGGCACAGGGCAATAAAGTATCGCATCTCGTCGCGGTACGCGATTAATCGCGGCCCAGGCAAGAATTAATTGCCGACGCTGCGATAATTTATCGTCGCCCGGGCCCTGCGCCGCGATATTTTACGACTGGAAGATATTTTTCGTGGTTCCGCGCGCGATAACCTACGACTCGTTTTCCCGTACACACACACACAAAAACCTAGCAAGGAAATCTCAGCGCTGGAAGAATCCCTTTCCGTTTTTTACGAGCATCCGGTACGAGGCGACGCGTTTTCCACGGGGTTTTCGCCGCGGATCGTTTCTAGCCGTTATCATTTCCCCGGTTAACCTTGCTCTCCGCCTCCTCTTCGATCGACGATAAAGTATGCATGAGCCCACGGCCGGGCTTTATCGCCGCGATGTCTTAATCCCTCGGAAAGCCACAATGCTTGTTCAATTATTCATCGTGCGTTGGCCCACTCCTCTTTGCCTACGGAAGCTTTTCTTAACGCCCGTTTATTGGATTCGAACGGGGTTTCGACGTATCGGTAACACATTTTATGATGCAGTGATTTTTATGCAGAAATATTTAGTTTTTCTATTTGGCACTCTTGTCTTTGTTATGATTTTACAAGGTGTAAATATACAGCAGGCCCCGCGGAAGATACGTGTAACAAAAAGATCGATAAAATTAAATATGATTTAACACATACCAATATATCGATATTTTTTGCTCTAATTTAATTTCTTGCCGGTATACGGCATACAAATCGTGCTCTATAACTTTTCTTTGATAATTAATAAGATTCTCTGTACAGCGACTATCAACTTAATATATCAGAGTAACAACGAAACCTTTGAAAATTGTAAATTCATTATCGATTCGTATTTAAAGATTAATATTCATTGGTTTCACTTTACAATAAATTTTTTTACAATCACAAAAAAAATTCAAGCTACAGAGTGTTAACAGCATAAACGAATAATTTGTTCGATCCAGTTCCTGCAAATTAATCTACAAAAAATCTACCTTTCTCAAAACCGTCAACACAGTCTACTCGTCGCCTATCGGTTCAAGCTTCAAATTAACGACCGCCAGTTTCGCGTTAGCGCGCTACGTGCCCCAGCGCCGCGCCGCGAATTAGCAGGCTAATGAAAATCAAACCCACCGGCAAGATTCGGTTGATTCGAGTGAAACTCTTCGCGCGGCTCGTTCCGCGAATACCGAGGAAACCAGGAGAGGATGCCAAGGTTTCCAGTACCTGCACACGCACGCCGAAAACGAGTCTCTCTCTCTCTCTCTCTCTCTCTCTCTCTCTCTCTCTCTCTCTGTCTGTCTCTCTATCTTTCGGTGTGTACAGACGGCAAGAGGCGGCCAATAGATCGAGGAGAGCGAACCGGAAACCGGGGTACTCCGCGGGCTGGCGGGAGGAGCACACCGAGAAGTCGGCTCTATTTACATTCCAGGGTTGCTTTCGCCACCCTGTATACACTGCGCCGAACAATTATTTGCATTCCTGGTGCTAATACCGCCGCCGACGTTAAGGGAGGGGCGTTACTGCGCGCTTTCTACCAACCCCCTGCCGGAAACAGCCCCATCTCTTTCTCCCTTTTCCTACGAGGAGTGTCGGGACTTCTTCACGACGACGTTTACGAATCGATATGAAAATGTTGAATTTTTGGACTAATTTATGGGGGTTGGAATTGAATAGAAATATATTTGCTTCATTGATATGGTCACTGTCAGTGGCGCTAAGTGATGTTTTCTGATGTTAAGCCAATGATGCTTGATGGGGTGACTTGGGACTACGGTATTCAACCCCGTATGTTCCAGTGGTTGGTCCTCGAAGTGAGATCGTATAGAGCAGATTTTATACTTAGAGCAGATTTACACATAGAGCAGATTCTATAGAGCAGATCTTACACCTAGAGCAGATTCTACAGAACAGATCTTGTGGAGCAGATTCTATAGAGCAGATCTTATAGACCAGATTCTATGGAGCAGATTCTATAGAGGAGATCTTATTGACTGCCTACTGCTGGCTAAACCTAACATAATAGAGATAGTAATGCGATGCTTAGACTGCGGATTTTCTGCATTTATAGCATACACGATGACTTGAAACTCAGTAGTACTTGGGATGTATAACAAAAATGAATCAGGTATTTAGTTTACTTCGAATCTTACAGAATCATTAAAGATAAGAACAAATTCTTCTTAAATTCTAATTTCCATAAACTAGCTTACAAGAATTCACATATATTTGCATAAACATCCGCAGTCTAGTGGTGATCGAAGGATGACACAATAAACATAGATGATGTTTGCCACATGGTGACAAATATCTAACCTAAACCTTGCTCAGACCTTTGTAAATCAGTCCCCTTCTAAATTACTTTGCCATTCGCACCAAAACTGTGAAAATTTGGAAAATACTGCGAACAGAGTCAGAGGACCTAAATGGACCAAGTCAGCAGAAGCAGCTTCTTATCGCTCCGTCGAGCTACCTCGCTACACCGTTACCGTTAACTATACAATCAACACTGTCGCGCCTTGTATACACTTATTTTATATATTTCTTCCATCTTGCTCCATTCCCAAGGCTCCTGTTCGCGGTCTTGAACAGAGTCCGTCTCGAAATGGGAGAGGTAGCCAGGCTCGGGGAACAATGGTCAGAGTAAAACAACGTGGTTGCTCTATTGAAACGTGGCTAATGTTGCCATCAAGACGAAATGGAAGCTCGTTACCACCGACTTTTTTTTTTGTCTCCTCTGGCCACCGTTCCCCCTCTTCCCTTACGGCCGCTTGGAAAATTGGAGTAGCGACGCGTTCTCCGACACTTTTGCGACGCGGCGAGAACGCGCGACGCCGGTTTCACAGCTTTTCCCCCACCCTGTTTCTTTTGTACGCGGGTTTTTTTTTGCGCCCCTGAACTGGAAACTCGGTTGCCACGACGATTAATCCGCGCGTTTCCTGTTTCGTTGGGAATGTTTGGTCGCGGCGTTTCATTAAATGATGATGACCGAAAGACCGTTTTCGCGACGAAACGCCGACGACCCGTGAATTCGTGATAATTCGATCCGGTTTAACGTAAAGTTTTGTAATTCCTTGGATATACAGTGTGTCCTGTGAATTGTGGTACAAATGAGACAGGGATGATTCTACGCTGAGGTTTCTAAGTACTGCACGCATGATGTGTTCATCGGAATCTACAGAATTTTTGGGTTTAGAATGATGTGCATATATGTAACTCGTGAGGAAGATAAGGTACTAGTGATAAGTGGTGATAAATATGAGAACAAAATGACGGAAATAGACTCTACGGTGGTTGAACAGTATGCAATACTATTCAATAGATATTGCATTTTTCTTGGGCACTTGAATTTTATTTAGTTTTACCGATTAGTTCTATTTTTAGAAGATAGTGAGATCGATGAAACAGAGGCAATTGCTATCTTAATTCGTAACTATCTTATCTTCGTCTTTTCATTTAATTCTTCTGTCATAATTGTAGAATATTTATAGTACAAGAATTTCCATAACTCGAAATTAATCTTCGTAAAAGTACAAATGTATACAGATATTTACGTATATAATCCCCATTATTAATTACTGTTCAGAATGTAAATATTATTACGGTGCGACCCGTGGAAATTATTAACATTTACGCTTGCACATTATTCCTTTGGGTGCGTAATACCTCACACCGAAGTAAATTATCTCAGAGTAATTCTTGGGGAGGGGGAGTACCAAGATATTAAATGTAGTGAGCGTGGCGAACGTTGAAAATATTAATGTCGAACGGCAACCCTCCGGAGAGGCGAACCTATCGAGGCAAGGATAATTCCGCGGCGATCGATGAAAGTTGCAAATTTATATTTTGCGGTACCCTGGTAATAATTAATGTACTCTTTCAGCGAGTAATAAAGCTATACGTCGAGCTTTAACAGAAATTTATCGAACCATTTAGCTTAGGGAAAGGCTGCTGCAGCTTCCGAAGAATAATTAAATATGCCGCCGTAAATAACTACTATATTTACCGGATACTCGAGCAATTTTGTCGTTCGTGGTAAGATACATTTATTATACATTGCATACGGGATCGACAGCGATATCACTTTGCTACCGATAAACGGCAGAAGCTTATAAAATATTCAGAGATTTATAGATATTTTTGGAAAATGCTGCTGCGTTGAGTCCGCATTTCACTCGGGCAAAATCAATTTGATGCAAAACGAAACTTTGCCTATTATAGAAACTTATCAAAAAACATTATATCATATACGAAAATGTAGTCTGTATATGATACAATTAAGTTATCGATATATCCAATTTTAATTTTGTTTCGGATAAATGAACAATGAGTAAACTGCATAACTTAAGAATGTACAGCAAACTCGAGGTTATAAAATCAATCGAATAAAAATTTCAATGAAATTCGATTAAAAACACAGAATAAAACATCAACAAACATATAATCTTGCTTCGTCTTCGAACAAAGAATAAAATATACTAAATAGTCTACAAAAGCCTGTGTACGAAATCTATCGAAATCTTCAACAATATATTTCAATAACAAACATTTCTCGACTCACCGGGCACTCCCACAATTTCCTCGAGCAATCCTCAGGAACGATCCACGAGTTAACTACCCGGTAGCAGCGTCTTGCTCGAAAGTTCAACAAAATCTAATTTACCACGTACAGCAAACAATTCGAGGTTCGTCGTTGGAGGTACTTCATTAAAATTTAACGAACACCGTTCATTTCGGGGCGGGGCACGTGGCCCTGTGTGGATTTACGTCGAAATAAAGACAAGAGAGAGAGGAGGTGTCGCAGAAAAGAAAATAATCGGTGAACGGAAACGGAAACACGGTGTGTCGAGGGGGGGAGGGCCGGCGCAATTAATATAGGTATATACCTGTGATCGAAGGACGTCGCTCGATGGCCACCTTGCGACAGTTTGCCAAGGGAAGCTATAGGTGCGCACGTCGCCGACCAGTGTCAACAGGACTAATTATCGAGCGTCAACCCCACTGGTTACCGGCCGCGACCAATAAGCACCGTCAACATATGAATAACCTTCAAAACGGTCGGGGATTCCCTATTCCCGGTTTTCGAATATTTGTCCCGGGAATTTTGGTTGGTCGATGAGACTTTGCGTAAATAAACGACATGTCGTGAATCTGAACCGAGAAATTATGACGAGAATGATTAGACTGTGGATACACAGCTTAATAAGATGTAAAACGAAATATTTACAGAACTCGAAGAGTATTCAATATTAGACTGTTTTCTCTATTATTTGTGGTCGCATCAAACCACTTGTTTGGGTTATTAACGACGATAATGATAATATCAGTAATAATAATGTTCAATATAGATTTTAAA